ATGGGAATGGAAAGAAACAGTCATGTAGTTGTAGTACAAGTGTGAGAGAAGGAGAGAAAATTTAGGAAACAAGTATTTTCTAGTGTTGTGAAAAGAAAGCAATGGACTTTTATTCCCTTTGTGATGGAATAAAGTACGATTTCTATCTCTAAGTGAAATCTTGCAACATCCGATTTTCATGTTGAGAGATTTTTTTGGCAGGGGAGGGCTGAGGACAGGGGTCTCCCGGCTCTTTGGTTTAGATGGCACGAGAAAAATGCGCCCAGGTTAACACAGGCCACATTCTCAGCTAATGTGCAAAGAGACATAATTGCCCTTTTAGCAAGTGAACTGACATTTTCTTTCATAAAGGAACAAGTGTTTTTTGTTTTGCTACTAATTTTCATCCACTTTTGAAAAAATGTTTTTGCAGTTTTTTGAACTAGTGAAAATAGTCCTTGTGGGCATTGCTGCCTTTCCAGTGAAAATTCAGGACCTTTGAGAACAGTTTATTCTCTCTGATAATCTCATAATAGCTTTTATAGTATTTCCTTGGGTCCTATTACCTGTAGGTAGTAAAATGTCTAAAATTGGCAAGGGAAGGTGTCTTGAACCTCATCTGACATTCTCTTGCCTAGGCAAGGGCAGGGTCTCTTATGGAAGAGATGGAAATTGAAAAGTCGCCTGAAGTGACTTAAAGGGACCCATGGCAACACATAATAGGTTTGTATGTTTCTTAGAGATGTGACTGAAATCTCAGCAGAACCAGCTTAAGAATGGGTTTGCCACTTGTAAATAAAGAAATAGCAAAATGTGTAGCCAATTACCATAGAATGAAGGAAGGGCATTTATTTGTTTCCACAATGCATACAAGCTACAAAATTGAGTCAAATGCAGCCCTAATTCCTTTTTGCTCAAGAAATAGCCTTCATGTTTGGAAAAAATCAGGTAAGTTGGGTGGAGTTGTAGCTATTTTAATTAAGAGAAAACACGTTGCTCTGGTTACTTTTCCATTTAAACAGCATAGTGTATTTACAACTTTAAATACTCCATTTATCGATTTCCTTAAAATAATAGGCTTTCTTGGGAGTGTTATTTACCTTCTGTGGCCCACCTGTGCCTTGTATTGTAGGATCTAGATTAACTGGTTAGATAAATTAGCTGGATAATCCAGGAGTACCAGATTTGTCCTGGTGTCATTTGTTTTAAAATTTACCTGGTTTTTAGGTAGATTTCTCAAGAACCAAGAATGATCTAGAACTTTAGAAGTATGGAACTGCCGGTTTTTAGTTAGTAAAAATAGCTTCAAAGATTTTTATGGAATCACAGTTGTAGTAGTCACCTACAGTCAGAACCCCAACTGACGTAAATTTGTGGAGCAGTCACTTGCATAGAAAGGAATTAGAGTAGTTGAAAGTTATGCTCAAAACCAGACCGTCTGGTATCAGGTATGAGTTGTGTGACTTTGGTCAAGTTACTTAACTGTTTCTTCATCTCTATAGTGGAGGTAACACCTGCCTTAACGAGTCGTGGTCAGAACTGAATTACATCCCTTAAAAACTGCATGTACTAAGTATTGTGTTAGATGCTGTTGGTCATTATTAACAATTCCTATTAGAATGGGAATTTGGCAAAAATTGGCTTGTTACATAAACTTTGTATTTCAAAGACCCATTGCTTCGGTTATTACCCTAACACCCCCAGCCCTCACCTGATGGGTCATCTGCTTGGCCTTTCCTGCTGTCTGACAGGAGTACTTAAGGGTCAGTGAAAGTGCCAGACAGAGGAGGTGGAGGATGAGAGACATGGGCCAGAGAGAAAGTGGTTGGTAGTGTCTCTCTAGACCCCCTGTCTCAGGTCTTCAGAAAGAAATTGGTAATATTTTATATTTTAATGATTTTATCCAATTTTAAGAGTATGAGTATTTGTGATGAAAAGAATGCAAAAACGTAATTTAAAAACCTGGAAGTAACCACTATTAACGTTTTGGTGTATATTCTTTAAAAAAATTTTTTTTTGCATTGATTTGTAAAAGTGAGATGATTCTATTCAGCCTTTTGTAACCATTTCCATGTCAAATATTGTTTTACTTTTTAAAAGGCTGCATAGGATGTTTTTCATCAATTCTAAAATCCATCTCAACTTCAAACATGTTAAAATATGGGGGGAAGAACGTGCACCATAGAAATCGATGGCATATTAGTTTTAATGTTTTTTCCTACTCAGAACATAAAGTAATGGGGTGTCCTAAAACCGGTATAGATTCCCTGACATTCAGCGTCTCGTTGTATAGATGATTTAACCACGTCTCTACTGAGGGGCATTTAGGCCCCTGTCCACATTTTAATCAATGCTGTGATAAGTTCTTTGTTCAATTTATGATATTTATGCTGTTCTTTAGTCTACGTTGCTAGGAATGGAGTTGCTTATTCAAATTTCATTGAATATTGCCCAACTGCCTCCAGAAAGGAGCCAACTAACATTCCGGGTTGCGAACACCAGTTTTTCTGATTAATACTGGCTAATTTTTTTCTGTAATTTTCCTCATTTGGTAAGTGAAAAATGGTATTTAATTTTCGTTTCTTTGGTTACAGGTGATTGTCTTTTTTCGTGCTTATTGGGCATTTACTTGTGTTTTGTGAGTTGCTCACTCAGTCCATTTTTCTTTGAAGTGTTGGCTTTTTTCATATTGATATGTAGGAGCACCTTATTAAGTAAGTTATTTTTGGCATACATTGCAAATATTTTTTATCTAACTTGGTGTGTGTGAGCTTTGCAAAGTTTTAATTGGAAATTTATTCCAGTATAGGCTGTTATGTGAAGATCTGACTTGTTTCTTTCCATTGTCAGTTAGCCAGTTGATGGAATTGCTTATCTTTTTTTAGGGGGAAGAAGAGACTTTTCTGATCTCTTATTCTAGAGTGATTTACTTGAGGGTTCACCTGTCAGCCTTCCATGAGGGTAGATAATGTGAACGTCCATGACTCCTGCAGGCTAGCAAGAGAAAAACAGGGCTCCTTTGGAAGGATTGAGCAGCCATATTGGGACAGATGACAACTGCATCAGGTGAAAGACAAAGACAAAGAGCTTAATGGAGAAAAACCAAGCATCGGATAGGGCGCATTGACCAGAATAGAATGCCTAGCTTGGTATCTCTTTTACTGGCTTCAGGGCATTGGTGAGTTGCAGCTGTATGTAGGCTATTAAGGGGAACTGAGAAATTGGGACAGGGTGGAGGGAAAAAGGCAGTAAAAGGAAAGAACTAGATAACACTAGTTTGACTTTCCTATTGCCTGTAAGGAAGACACAGGCCCAGGAAATAGAATCTCTGGCTTCTGGGAAGGAGGGCCCCTTCAAAGAACAATTCAAGGTAAGGATTTCTACACAAGAATTAGTGGTGGAGATTACCAGGAATCCATGAAGAATGCACTTGGACTCTTATTTGTAGTATTTAGGTCCCAGAGAATCAAGGAATTTGATGTTTCAATAGAGCAGAGATTTCTGGGTTGGCTTTGGGATGTATATCAGGAGTGAGGCTTTAAACCATTGCTAATTTTCCCGAGGAGAGCAAGCCTGGCCGTGTGAATATTGGTGAGTTCTACCTAGTCCTCGTAAAACTAGGCAGCCTGATTTTGGATTTTGACTGTGTGTGGGTGGGGAGGAGGATTGTGAAAACTACCTGGGGTGAGGGTAGAGCGAGGTTATCCATCCTCTGTCATTCATGGAAAGAGGACATTTTACTGGCAGAGTGAGCAGCCAAAGGCGTGCTCAAATAGGTCTTTAGAATAAACACTGCGACGTGTATTATAGCAGGGCCGTCAGTGGACAACGGGGTAGGATGGGGGTTGGGAATGAAGAGGAGCAAATGCTGACTCAGTTGTCCCAGCACAGAGGAAGCAGGCACAGCTGGACTGGCTTCTGGAACAGAAGGAGCAAGATGAAAGCCGTGGCAGGTGACGTCTTTTACCTTTTATTGATAGCCTGCTAGGGACAGATGTGGTGCTGGGGAAACAGATTGCCGTGGTTCCTGCCTTCAGATCACGCGAGGGGAGCACGAAGGCCTTGCATCCTTAGAAGGAGCCTTTAGGAGTCAAGGAAACCTCCCTTTAATTTTTTTTTACTTTTTTAGGAAAACAAATGAGGACTGCAGTATTGCCTGGGGCTTTAAGGAAAGGGAAAAGGTATGGGGGGTTGAAGGGAGACTGGGAGTTGGGTGTTGGAGCCCAGTGGGGGGAGGAAGAGTGACTAAGATGGATAGCGCGTAATCAAGGAAATCAAAATAGGAAAAACAGGTACAGTCATGCCTTGCATAACAGTCATGTCGACATTTCGGTCAACAATGAACTGCATATACAATGGTGGTCCCGTAAGGTTAGTACTATAGGGCCTAGGTCTGTAGTAGGCTGTACCATCTAGGTTTGTGTAAGTACACTCTTATGGTCGCCCAACGATGAAATCGCCTAATGACACATTTCTCAGAACATGGTTGTTAAGTGACGCATGACTGTATTGCAAGCAAAAGTTGGCTCTCATTGTCAAGAGGTGATAGGTTGGCCTGCTTCTGAGGAGGTGGCCTTGTCTGTGATGGCCCAGTGCAAACTAACAAGGGGCATCAGGTCCTGGGTGCAGACAAGCCAACACTGAAGCTGCTGAGACGCTAAGAACCATGGTGTGGGGGTGCTGCGCACCAGTTAAATAGGTAGAATGGAGATGTAAGGAAAGAGCTTAAGTGTGTCAAAGAAAGCCTAGGGTTGGGGCCGGCCCCGTGGCTTGGCAGTTAAGTGCTCGCGCTCCGCTGCTGGCGGCCTGGGTTTGGATCCCGGGCACGCACCGATGCACCGCTTCTCTGGCCATGCTGAGGCTGCATCCCACATACAGCAACTAGAAGGATGTGCAGCTATGACATACAACTATCTACTGGGGCTTTGGGGGAGAAAAAAAAAAAAAATCCAAAGAAAGCCTGGGAGAACTAAATAAGTCTGGAATGGCAGGAAGCATGGAGGAAGAGTTACATGTGAACAAGCAGAGCAAATGTTCATCGCCTCAACTTTTAGAGCTCTGAGGGACATCTGATAAACCGAAGCCGCCTCAGTTCCAGTGTTTGGGTGGGATGGCAGTAGAGGGTAGGCCCCAGGCTTGACGGGGATTTAAGCAAAAGGTTCTTGGGCCTCTCATCCTGTTATTTTGGGAAGAGTACTATTAGCATTTAGCCAAGACTCTTGCCCCACCAACTTAGCAGAAGTGCCTATAGTGAAGGGATGGAGGCAGGGATGGGCTAGAGGAGAGTGACAAGCCAGGGGCCACAGATTTAAAGGACTAGAACATATATCACGTTCCAAGTTCGTGCTGGGGAGAAGAGAATTATCTTCCAGGCTCAACTTGAGCTCTCTGAGGACCGGCTCAGTCTTTCTGAGGAGGGAAAGCAGATGCCTTTGGGAGAAGAGGACGACTTTTGAGTGCAACCTTGGTGGTTTGGGTCTTAGACCCTGAGGTAGCCCTGGTGCTGAAGGCAGCACCTGCTGCAGCAGAAAGAGGAGGAAACACAAGGGGCCAGAGAGCCTGTGGGCCCCTCCTTTATAAGACATCAGATTTTGGAAAGGGAGGCTGCTTGCCAGGGTCCTATGGTGGGTTTACAGTAGCTTTCCACCATCAGGCTGCTCTTCACCGAAAGGATGAAGGCAAAATAAGCTAGCAAAATTAGGAAAAATTACATTCTTAGGCTTCCACAAATAAGGACAGTCATGACCATCTTGGGAGCCCTTGTATTGGTGTTCATCAGGGTCTTTTATAGCCTCATCTGTAAAACTAAATTGATCTGTTCTGAAGCTTCCTTGTAACTCACTAGTATATCCATCATCTAGAGCCGTGTTCTCCAATACGGTAGTCACTATCCATGTGTGACTATTTTAATTATAATAAAAATTCAGTTCCTCAGTCATACTAGAGACATTGCGAAGTGGTCAATAGCTAATGTGGTTAGTGTCTACTGTATTGAACAGTGCAGACATACAGAGCACGTTTCTATCTCAGAAAGGCCTGTTGGACAGCACTGATCCTGACATAAGTCCTGGTATAGAGTGGCTGCTTTATAAATAGTTGTTGCATGAATGGCCCTCTGGACTGGTTGCCATTGCTGGTAAGAGTTTTGGTTTCCACCCTCTCCTTTCCGCTTTCTGGCCAGCATAGCCCAGAAAGTTGTAGGAACCCTGATTGGAGTCTCTAGGTCCACATGGTGGAGGATGTAACCTTCAGGCTCTGGAGAAGGCAAGTGAGGTATCTGGGTTAGATCCAACTCTCAGTTCCTGAGTCACCCTGAGCAAGCTTGCTTGCCCTCTAGCTGCAAGCAGACCTGATGGTAGCACGCAGGGGTGATGACACTGGAGCAGGGGACTGCTGTGTCACTAGATGGGGCATGCTGTGCTGGCTGGGGGCACATCGACGTTCCAAGCTTCAAGCTTCTCCACTCGGAGCATGAGGGAGCCACACCCCATCTTTAACTGATCCAGAGTCAGCTTCTCACCACAGGAGAAGGTGAGCGGGTGAAGGGAGCTTGAGGGGAAAACAGAGAGAGAGATGTGCTGCGGCTCTGGTTCCCCCAGAGGGTGGGTTACAGGAGCCTCATGTGAAGGGAGATAGTCCATGTTGGAGGGTAAGTAGCCCTCGTGGGTGGGAAGGTAGTCCACCGGGAGGACTGTCAAGGGGCTGGCTGGGTTTCCCGGCTTTGCGTCGGGGCTCCTGCTCCCCAGCACCTTGTACAGATTCGCTAGTTGTCCTGTCTCGGCTGTGAGGGCTCTTGCAGGTGGTGGGCTTGAGGCACTGTACGCTGCATCTTCCCCAGAGGTGTAGTGACCTTGGACTCCTTGTCCCTTGTCTGGCCACTTGGGGCGATGGGGATGTCTGAAGACTGGGGTCGCTTGATGAAGAACCTCATTGATGACCAGGGGCTCAGGTTCTTCAGGAGTGGGCCAGTCTGTCAGGAGCCTGTCCAAGGGCAGCAGTGTCTTCTCCTGAGAAAGGAGAGGAAGAGGCTTATGTGGCTGTTAAGTAGCCTTGACAACCAACTTCTCCAGGGTTCTAAAAGGCCTCCCAGCCTGCATTGCCTAGTCAGCTTGGGGCAGGACGCTGGGGGCCCTTGGCTTTGCAAGGTAAGAGAGGCAGTTAGTGTCGGCAGGCACACAGGCGGGAGCCATGGACTCCTTTCAGTGTGAGTGCATCACTGTGCTGCTCAACCTTGAACCAAACTGCACTGGCTGCTTTTCCTCTAGGATAGAGGGCATGGTGGGTGCGAAGGAAAGGCCGAGCTTGCCTCTGGCTGGGGGAGGAGGCAGGGAGGACTTTAAAAGGGTCACAATTGAGGCTGGCCCTGTGGCGTAGTGGTTAAATGCATGATCTCCACTGCTGGCGGCCCGAGTTCAGATCCCGGGCGCGCACCGACACACCTCTTGTCAGGCCATGCTGTGGCGGCCTCCCACATAAAGTGGAGGAAGATGGGCACGGATGTTAGCTCAGTGCCAGTCTTCCTCAGCAAAAAAAAAGAGGAGGATTGGCATGGATCTTAGCTCAGGGCTGATCTTCCTCACCAAAAAAAAAAAAAAAAAAACGGGTCCCACTCAAGCTGCATCCTGAAAGATATATAGTATTTTCCAGGTAGGGAGGTGGTAGGTAAGGAGGACGGGTCTATTCTGGAACCTGCTAGTTCTTTCTTAGGACAGGCAAACTGAGGCTTCAGAATAGGAGTCATGTGACGAGAGGACTTCTAAGGGATGCTAAGGAGTTTGGGCTTTGATACAACTACTGAGAGGTTTTAGGCAAGGTAATATCCTCATCAGTTCTGCTCTTAAGAAAGACCCCTCTGGGATAACTTTTTTGGGAGAAATTTTCACCCTTTTTTCCCTACAGCTAGTTCTCTGTTACTTCTCTTGATTACTTTCTCTTTCTCAGCCTCATATCAGTTGCCAGCTCTTCAGCGTCATATCTCTTTCCTTCCCAAACTTACGGCTGATTCCTGAGGCCAGGTTCAAGCACTTTAGTAACATTGGGGCTCTCCTTACATCCTCGAAACTGTCTTTTACACGGTCTGCTTGGTCTTTCTCAAGCAGCGCTCCCAGCCTTTAACGACTCAGGCTTCCATACGCAGCGAAGCTTCCAGCCCTTAGCCTGGCAGAGGGTTCCTGCACCTTCCTCCACCTTCCCATGTTTCTGCTCAGAAACTATTGAAGGCACACTGTCCTGGTCTTCCTGACACACTTTCTTCTCAGCGCCTCCACCACACTTCCACGGCCAGCCTCCGCCCTGCTTCTGTCTGCTGCACCATCTCCTGCCTGACCCCGTCTCGTTCATGAAGCCCCTGGTGACTGTTCCCTCCCCTGGACTCCTACAACAGCCAGCAGAGAAACCACCCCTTAGGTTCTTGCCACATGATGCTTTGTACTGTCACTTTTTTTTTCTTTTTACATGTCCATAAGTCCTATGAGCAGGGACCATGTCTTAAGGGAGGAGTAGGATGACAAAAAATAGCCTCGGGACAGGGCAAACCTGTAGGACTAGTCCCAACTCGCACACCCTACAGCTTGGGAAAATTCTCTGGCCTTTGGTTCCCTCGTGTGTTAAATGCCAAATTGTGCAAGAGCGGTTTGGTCTGCGGCCTTTGATGTCCTCGTCCTTGCCTTGAGCGTGGCAAGCGTCCAAAAAGTGAGCGATGGTGCTGTCTCGGGACAGACGTCCACAAGGGGCCCTGACAAGCTAGAGGGCACGTGTGTGTTTCTTTTTCAGGAGGCTGCTCTCTTCCCATCACTGCGCAGACTGGCCCTGGCATGTCGGTCTGCTTGGAACATGGCCGGTGGCTCTGGGAAGCAGAGCCTTCACGAGCGCTGCTGCCACAGATGTGGGCGAGATTACACGGGGCGCGGAAACCGCGGCTTGTTCTCACGAGGTGAGGCGTTCGCTCTGCCTTCTTGGAAGCTCTGGCAGTACTGACAGAGGCTGCTCCTCGGCCTTGAGGAAGCGGGCCCTCCGGCTGACAAGTCCTGGGGCAGGGCCTCTTAGATCACTATTGGCCCAGGGACCTCGGGCACACTATTTTAAGCTTTTACAAGCTCAAAATGGATAACATCCCAGTGATCCCCTTTATCATTTGGCCTTTTCCTCCAGAGCTGTAAGACGCGTGGTTTTTTTAGCCACATATAAAGAAATGGCAGGGGGATGTAAGGCTGAGAACTCCACACATTTGTTGGAGGTGAAGGACTGTCGTGTTTCTGATGTCTGCCTCAGCCCATCACCAGGAGTGCAGTTTGAATCTTTAAAAACAGTCTCCCTGCTTCAAGGGTCAAGTGACTGGCGTTCTGGGGCTGCCTCAAGGCCTTCATCACGCATGCCATGTTTAAGCTAAATTTTTTTAAATTTTCTAATTCACCAGTTATTTTTGCAAAAGAAATATATGCATATACTTTTGTAAAAAATTTTAAAAGTTCAAAGGGAATTTGTAATGAAAATTAAGTGGCCCTCATATCCCCAACCCCCTCCCCAAAAGCAACCAGCAGTGTCAGTTTCATACGTAGGCTTCCAGAAAGATCCCGTGCACATGCTGGGGGTGTGTGTGTGTGTGTGTGTGTGTGTGTGTGTATAAAATCTCCCTCCTTTTTATACAAGTGAGAATCCACTTCAGACAATTGTTACAAACTTTGGTTTTTCACTTTTAAGTATCTTAGAGATAGATCTCTTTTTTTTTCAGTACTTGCATAATGTCCTGTTGTATGGATGCACCCAAATGTTTAAGCTGCCCTCCTGGTGGCAGGTTACTTATGCCCAGTTTTTGGCTTCTATTACAGTGCTGCGATGAACATACTTATACTCTACAACGTGGGCCATGTGTGTGGCAATTTCTGTTGCCTTTTCCCTGTGTCTCTCTAACCCTCTGTGTGTCTTTCTCAGCATCTCTTCTAGGCTTTTTATGGGCCCTGCAGCCTCTGGATCCCCTCAGGCCCAGGCAGAGGCAAACAAAGCCCAGGACACCAAAGCTATCAGCCTGGGAGCCAGGTGTCTGCGACTGACCCAGCGCGGCTTCCCCCCGTGCTATTTCAGGCTTTTAGGACAAGGGACTGTGGAATCTCAGCAGTGGAAGAGAGAGGTCTGAAGGCTCAGCTGATTCACCTTCTGGTACTGACTCCCCTCCAACACTAGCAGTGGATCCCTGTCAAATGCCTTCCCATGGGTCATCACACGACTGCTACCAGGGAAGGGCCCCGGGTGTGAACACCTCTTTAGTTTATTCAGCTCGGGGTGTTGACTGCTAAAAACACTGCTCTCACACTGTGCTTAAAGATCTGTTAGGACGTAGATAATGTAGACGTATATAATGTAGAAAGGTCTTTTAGGATGTAGATTATGGGGGACAGCAATCCTACTGTCTGTGAATCCAGGATTCACCATTTACTAGCTGACTAATGTTGGGCAAGTTCCTTAGTCCTCTGTGGCTCAGTTTCCTCATCTGAAAAATGAGGATAATAATAGTACAACCTCGTAAAGCTGTTGAATGGATTAGATGTTAATGCATAAAAAATGTTTTTTCAAAATGCCATATAGAAGGTAATATATATATGTCTATCTAAACATATAAATATATTATTTTATAATACAATTATATGTGTTTAATTATATATCATGTATATGACATATAATATATATAAAAATATAATTTAAAAAAGTATCATGTATTAGCTACTATTATTATTACTGTTCTTGCCATCATAACTTAACAGGGACAAAACCCTTCAATAGAGAGATGAGACTTTAAATATGAATCTTCCTGGGAAGAAAGTGAACGATCTTTGCCTTATATGACCCATGTGCTTCACATGGCATCTTACTTAATCCTCACAAGAGTGTCCATGGGAGATGTTGTCAATTCCTGTTTAACAGAAGATGAAGCTAGGGCTCAGATCATCAGGCAAGTTGCCTAAGGGTCATCTACATAGTACATGGCAGAGGAGGGGTTTGCATCCAAGCCTTATTTCAAAGGCACTAAACAGCAGTGACTTACATCCCGAGTGAGGCAGACGTGGCTAAGACCAGCTCTTTCCTTGAGCAGTGGCTGGGACCACTGGCTTCTGGCCTGAGGAAGGATGTGGAAGCTGGAATGCACTGGGTAACTGAGGAGAAGGGCTATAAGCAGGGAGAAAGGGAGTGTGGGGCTGCCAAGGCCTGGGGCAATGGGAAGACGTTGGCATACTGCTTCCTTCCCCTTTGCTCCGCCTAAATGCGCAGTCTTGCTCCAGATTCAGATGCCTTCACCTTCCAGACCCTCCACCAGAGATGGACATCGTGTCCACTGTGAGCTGTCTCACCTCCTTAGACCGTGTGGCAGCAGCTCCCTTCGCTTCCTGTTCTCTCGGCTCCCTCATCTGCCCGCCAAGCAACCTCTCCTTCTTGAACATCTTTTCCTTGCACAATGGAGTGATGTACTGGCTTCGTGCCAAGACCAAAATAGTCGGGGCTCTATTTATCGGTTCTCTGCTCAGACAGGACTGGGATGTCACGGTAAAGCTTCAGTTTTCTTGAATTTGGATGAGTCAATGCTCAGGCTAGTACTTGGCAAGAATACTTGGTTTTTCATTTCTTTTAAAGTGAAGTGGAGGTGAGGAGGGGAACATAAGGCATGGAGGAGGAACGGAAAGCTGTGGGCCTTGAGTCTTCTGGTCATAAGCTTCTGGGAGTCCCTGTGCCTTGACTGTGGGCTCAGGTGGTAACTAGCACGAGCGACTTCAGCACCAGGTTTCCTGGTAACTACGATGGGAAACTTAGATGTGCTGACCTCTAGAACCCCACCGCCTGACCACGCAGGCTTTATGCCTTACCTCCACAAGCGGGTATTTCTTGGCCCAAGTGCTATTCGCTGGGTCTGGAATTTCTCTGCTACACCACTGAGGTCTGAGGGCTGCCAGGAGAACAAACACCCTGTAGATAAAGGAAACAGGGACACCTGGTGAAGTGTGCACAGGGAGGCGTGGACACGCAGGTTCTCAGTGTGGTGACTTCAGTGTAGGGGGTGTTCAGCGTGGGGATATGCAAATGAGTGAAATACAAACACTGAAGGAGAAAGATGCCGGGTCATCCAAGGCTGCACTAGCGCTCTGTGAAGTTTGGAGAGATGACAAAGAGTCCTGAGGCAACCACTTGGGTCGGCTAACTAAACAATGGAGCTTTTGCTCCGAGTGATGTTGAGCGGATCGCTATGTAGCCAGGCACTCGTTCGGCAAACACTGACTGAACCCCTGACGTCTGACCAGCATGGTGTGCATGCTAGGGATAGAACAGCAAACAAGAAAACTGGTCCCTACCTGTGGGGAGCTTACTATTTAGTTTTTTAGACTGTTTATAAAGAGTATGTAATGACAGGTGAAATTATTATGCTAAAATAGTAAAAAAAAAAAAAAAACTAGAACAAAACAGGGTACAAATGGTATAAATAGCTTGAACATAACCATGTGAAAAGAGATGCCAAGAAAAAAACACCATAGGGAAATAACCAGACTGTTAATAGTAATTGTATTGGGTGGTCAGAGGAAATGTGGGTCTTTTTTTTTCCTTCTTACATCTCTGGGTTTTTTAAACTATTTGAAAATGAGTTTATATTACTTTTATGATGTGAAAAGGAAAAAAATCCTACAAATGTTTCTTATAAATGCATGCGACTTAAATATTTTGACTATTTTTAAAAAATTCAAGACCAATATGAAACATCTCTAAGACTTGGCTTTAATAAGCTTTGATGTTTAATAAGAAGGGTAAGCTTCTAGGATGTGTTAAGCCCTTTGAAACAAGAGATGTGGCCATGTGACCAGTTTTTCTCCAAAGAACTGTGAGCAGAGGTCCCTGTGACCTCGTATAGATCATGCAGATGAGGACAGTGCCCAAGGGATGGTGGGCCAAAAACGTGGAAGAAAACCGGGTCCCTAAATGACTGTGTGGAGCAGAGCTGCCAACCAACCTGGAAGACTTCCCTCAGGACTATTATACGGAAGAGAAATAAACTACTTTATTAAAGCCACTAAATTTTGGGGCCTTTTTTTTTTCAGCAGAAGCCTTCACCCTAACTGATACTCTTTCTGTGAAGACGATGCATCTGATCCTAGTTGACTTTTTTTGAGTTAAACTTGTTCAAAGTCTACCTAAAGAGAGCTCTGCTTTGAAGTATCACACACGGAGCTTCAATAAATGTTCGCCTTTCAGACATGTTCAGTGGCCGGTAGGATGACTTTGAGCTAGTTCTATTTTGACCTCTTCTCTTACTTTACACATCTGAAGAAAACTTTGTATTGAATAACTGACTCATTAAAAAAATCTCTCTCTACAAGATAATGCATGTTCACTAAGGAAATTTTAGAAAATACAGTTAAATAGAAAGAACTAAAGTCACCTATGATTTTATCCCCTGATACAACTACCACTAATATTTTGTTGTATATCCTTGGGGCACTAATTGCCACCCAATACCCACTTTCCCCTCTTCCTTAGGAAGAGGACTCTGATTTATTGGGCCGACAGTGAACCAGCTAAAAGACCACAATTTTAAGCCTCCCTTGCCTCAGCAAGTTCTGGCCGATGAGATGTAACCAAAAGGGTCGTGTGTGGCTTCTTCACACGAAGTCGCCTGAAAAGGGAAGGGTGGGCGCCCTCCTCTCTTCTCCCTGTAGCTGTAGAACGCCCACAAGAGGGCTATGGCTCCTGCAGCCTTTGGACCACGAGGTGACCTTCAGGATGGAAGCCAACCTCAGGACGGTGGAGCAGGAAGGTCCCTGATGACCATGCGGTTGCTGCACCAGCTCTTTACCTGAGTTCATTTCCTCCACCTGGGGCAGAAACTGTTAGCTTGCTTAAGGCACGTTATTTTGGCTTGTTATGTTATAGACAGCCAAATTTAATGCTAACTGATTTATTTTGCATATGTATGCATGAGTCATGCACTATTTTTTAAAAATGAAGGTACATATTGTTTTGCAACCTGCTTTTAAAATAGAATATACCAAATATTCATACTATTTAATCTTCTTCCACATCATCTTTAACGGGTGCATAATATGCTATATAGCATGAGATATATTGTGATTTAGTTAAGTGATCCCATATCATTGGGCGTTTAGGTTTCAAATCGTTTTCCTTTTATGAACAATACTTTAGTGAACATGTTTGAGACTAAATATCTGCATACACCTATGATATACTTAGAATTAATTTCTAGGTAGGAATTGCTAGGTTAAAGGTATAATAGTTTTTTTCTTTTCTTTTTTTTTTTTTGGTGAGGAAGATTAGCCCTGAGCTAACATCTGTTGCCAATCCTCTTTTTGCTGAGAAAGACTGGCCCTGGGCTGACACCCATGCCCATCTTCCTCTACTTTATATGGGACACCGCCACAGCATGGCTTGACAAGTGGTGCTTAGGTCTGCGCCCAGGATCCGAACCCGAGAACCCTGGGCAGCAGAAGTGGAATGCGCGAACCTCTGTGCCACCGGGCTGGCCCCAAAAGTATCATATTTTTTAAAAGTTAACATACTGCCACCAAAAAAAACTGAATAAATTTACTCTGCCACCAGCAACGTATGAGAATGTCCATTTCTTTGATCCATAGCGGCAACAGTTATTATCATTTTAAAAAATACATTTACCAAATTGGCAGGTGTAACCAACTCACTTTTGCCGGAAGTAACGCATTGAGAAAATGCCCACCATGATGACAGCAATGCAAATGCTCGGTGCCACAAATGCGCTCCAATTGGCTTTACCTGAAAAGTTAGCAAACCCAGTGACTGAGTTATCTTCAATGAACATTTCAAAATACCAACTGCTGTGTGAACTGTCTGGGCCTCCCCACAGCTCCTGCATAGGTGGGCTCAGGAACAAGGCAAGTCGTTTTTGTCGGTTCAGTTAGGGAGAGGGGGCGGTAAGGGGGCCAATCTCTATGGTTCTAAGGGAGGAGCTCCAGCCCTACAAGGCTCCCTCCTCTAAGGGCAGAAGGAAAGCGGCCATGCTGTACAAAGCACTGGTTGTGAACTGGGAGCCCCGAACTCTAGTCCTGGCCCTGCCACTCACTGACGTGTGATCCGTGGACCTCAGCTTCTCGATCTATAGAAGGTGAATGATGACGTCTGCCTTGCAGGTTGTTGTGAAGGTTAGAGGTGGTGTATGTAAAGCACATGGCAATGTATCTGAACATAGGAGGCCCTCGAGAAATGGTAGCCATTCATTTCACCAAACCATTGGATAAGCCCTCTATCTAACTAGGGTCTTTGAAATCGTTCCAATTCATTCCTATGAAAAGAACTACTGCATTTTGCTACATGTCAGAATTATTCATTAATTCATCCAACACTTATTGAGTATTGACCATATACCAGGCCCTCTTCGGTGCTAGGATACAAAGATGAATAGGACGTGGGCTCTGCTGTCTTAAGAAGTCATGACTTTCGTCCAGGAGACAGATTTGTAAACATGTAAACAGTAAACCACAACGCCATGGGATATACATAAACATGGGCATGTGCAAGGCAGTGGAGCAGAGAACAGCATGGGAAACGGCCTCACGAGCAGCTCAAGAAGCTTTCCCAAGAGGCGCAGTGTTGCAAGTTTAGGGTTGAAGGATGGATAGGAGTTGGCTAAGTGGACAGGTTAGGGAAGCGCAGACCAGACAGAACTCTGCAAGGGCATGGAAGGAGGAGACAGCACAGGGCTTTCCAGCAACTGCAGGGAGTCTGGGCCTGCTTTCAAGCACGAGTGATGAGGCTGCAGCAGAGGACACAGCTAGATGGGTGAACAGGACCAGGTCAGGGAGCCCTGGTAACAAAGTATGGATTTGAGCTTGAAGGCCCCTGGGGGACCACTGCTGGGTGGCCACAGGAGGTGGAATGTCAGCACTGGGGATCTTACAGAAAGATTCTTCTTTGAGAGAGTGAAGGACAGGCTGGGAGGGAGGTGAGCAGGGGGGACTAGAGGCCAGAGATCTGCTAGCCCCCATGAGAGGTGTGTCACCAGGGCTGAACAGGGGAGTTAGCGCCTTGTCACCACCCCGCACAGTCGGCACAATGTGACATTTCTTCAGCATCTGCCTGCCTTCCTGGCAGATGGGACAAGTCTGAAGTACCACAAGTCGAAAGACACTGAGTCCTTAATCCAATTGACTGCTGACAAGTTAACTTTCTGGGAGATGAGAAGAGGGCTTGTCAGTTTTCCCTGTGGAGACACACCTGGCATAGAACACAGAGGCCCAAATGGTCAACTTGACACTCCATGTCACAAAGCAAGAACAGCTTGTTTTATGCTTGGAGCAGATGCAAACTAGCGCTGCCAGAGAGAACAGCGTAACTTAGCTGCTGGCAGCTCAGGCTAGCTGGGTCACTTCTTCATAGACTCTACCTTAAGAAACTCAGATCTGAGTTTGACGTGTAGTTCTGCCATTCACCACCTCTATGACCTTGGGTACACTTTTTGTACCTTACACTTGTAAAAAGGCACCCTAATCCCTCATTCCTTGATTCATTTCATGTTGAGTGCCTGGTAGTGTGGCAAGGGACAATCACGTGAGGCAGCCACTTTCCATGGTTGCGGTCAGAGTTAAATGAGTAAAAAGGATGTGCTATACGGGCTGAATTGTGTCCTCCCACCCCACAAATTCAGATGTTGGAAGTTCTAACCTGCAATACCTCAGAAAGTGCCCTTATTTGGAAATAGGGTCATTGCAGATGTGATTAGTTAAGACGAGGTCAGACTGGAGGAGGGTGGCCCCTAATCCACAATGACTGGTGTCCTTATAAAAAGGGGACATTTACATACACAGACACACTCGGGGAAAGCTCCATGTGAAGATGAAGGCAAAGATCTACAAGCCAAGGAACGCCCAAGATTGCCACCGGACACAAGGTGAGGGGTGTGGGACAGGTTCTCTCACAGCCCTCGGAAGCCAACTCTGCTGACATCTGGACCTCAGACTCCCAGCCTCCAGAGCTGTGAGGAAATCAGTTTCTGTTGTTAAGCCACTGAGTTTGTGGTCCTGTGTTACAGGAGCCCTAGCAAACTAATAGAGTACACAAAGTGCTTAACACAATGGCTGGTGCAAAACAACTATCTGATATGCAAGAGCTGCTCTTGTTATTGTTGAGATTATTCTCCTCGTTCATTGAACAGATATTGAGTGAACAGGTCCTATGTGCTGGGCACCATTCTAGACCTTGAAGACGGAGATAAACAGACACCAGTCCCTGCCTACTGGATGTAGAGTTTTGAACACAGGTCAAATGTGCATTATGAAGGAAATATGGAGATGCCGTTGGGAAGGCTTCCTGGAGGAGGAAACAAAACTATGGTGAGTTTTGAAAAACGGGTAGACACTGTCTCCAAGCAGACAGTGAAGTGGTAGGGCACTCCAGTTAGCGGAAACAGCAAGCATAAAGGTGTAGCAGCAAGGAAGTAATGAGTGAATTAAAGATAATCTCTACGTCAAATGTACTGGGAGTGTACACCCACTCCAGGGTGGACTCGCCATCCTTAAAGTCATTTCTTACCTTGCAGACAAAATTCCCTCTCATTTCCTCGGGGGCTTTCGCCAGCAGCCGTCAGAGCTGTCATCCACAGGATGTATGTCACTCTGGGCCGCAGGCTGTCTATGGGATGGGAATTTGGGGAAACCCTATAGGGAATTTCTGAGAGGAAGATGAAGACAGGCACATATTAATGAAAATATTTGACTGTGGCTTTTACTCATTGTTTTTTGTTAATGCTTCATTTAATTTGAAAGAGAAAAGCACATTGCTGTTTTAAAATAGTCCTGATTCATTAGTACTTAATACTTTAATAGGTCCTAGACACCGTCATTTATGGAGGCCCCACTTCACAGCATATCAAAAGAATTAAATATTTTTTCTGAGGTGAAATTTTTTCTTTAATTAATTAATTATTATTATTTTTGGCTGAGGAAGATTGGCCCTGAGCTAACATCTGTGCCCATCTTCCTCCATTTTTTGTATGTAGGTCACCGCCACAGCATGGCTTGGTGAGTGGTACGTAGATCTGTGCCCGGGATCTGAACCTGTGAACCCCAGGCCACCAAAGCAGAGTGCACGAGCCTAACCACTACGCCACCAGGCTGGCCCCTGAGGTAAAATCTTTTCAAAGAATTGTATCACTTTGCTTTTGAAATTATTTACCTGTAGTAACTCCCTTTATTTCCTATGACTATACTGTTTCCAGCATTTATCAGGTATATTTGAGAACTCTCGGGGAGGAAATTAAATGTACAAATCGTTTTCAGTGGAATTTTTAAGAATCCTAAGTTTAGCAATTAATGAAATAAGAATTTAAGTAACGTTTATTAATGTTGACTTTCCACTTTTTTTGTAGGCTCTGGGTGCTGGGCTCACTGGCCTTAATATGATGACCTGCTTCCATTTGACAGAAAATCTAAAAACGAGAGCAGTGGTACTTAGATTGGATTAATGTGGCAGTTTAAGCCTAGATGATCAGTCCCTGTGCCCCCAGCGCCTCGGCAGGGAAGATTCTGGGTTTTGAGCAACGCACTGAGGCTGTTCTTCTCCTCCAAGAAACATGAGCGTCAGCAGCCTTCAGTAAACAGGCCAGCTCCTCCAGCTGTCTGCTGGGTGTGAGGTTCGGAGTGGCCTCGCCAAAGCTGGGAAGGCCTGTAAAGTCCTGCCAGCCTGCTCCGCAGACGCACGCCTGCGCTGGGATCATGCGGGAACCCAGGACTCAGCACTCCGTGCCTCCACACAACCCCCAGGGCAAGTCCACGATCTCCTGTCTGCGGAATGTCTTTCAGCAGTCACAAATACTTATTGTCTGCTCTGGAAACGGCACCAAGTATACAAAGGCATAGAATCTGCCTCCAAGAGTTCACCATCTAGTGGGGAAAACAGAACCTCACACTCCCCACCCTGCTTAGTACGGGTGAGCAGCAAGATGGACACGTCCACTCTGCCCACAGGGCCTGAGGCCTGAGCAGATCATTTAACAGCTGTGACTAGCAGAGCAATTGCTGTATTTTACATCCTGTTGAGAAAAAGTACCCTGTGGAAAATTCCCAAGCCGCTTCTAACCTGATGAAATTGCTCGCACAGACTTCAGCTAGAAGATTGAACTGAAAAATCTCTTTCCTTGCTCCTAAGGCAGAGGATTAAAAACTTAATTTTGGAGAGACCTTCTGCTCATCTCCTGCAGCAAAGCATCAGCAACTGTCCGACTGTCTAAGGGCATCTCAGCTCTGGGAGCGAATGAAATGTTGGAACAGAAGGGAAGGGATGTGTATGGTTTGTTGGGCAGAAAAAGTTGATACACACACAAACACATGTATATCTGAAGAATAAAACTAGAACCTCTCGGGGGGAGCAGTGAGGAGGGTGAGGCGTCAGCAGTTTGGCTGGCAAACAGGTTGAGTTGAGTAATGGGAGAAAGAAGGCAAGAAGTCACGCAGGAAATACTTGTTCTGCTGCCTCGGTCGGGGCTGTGATCTCCGCAGAGAGAAAGAGAGCCATTCAGTCTGTAGAGTCTGAAACTTTAAACTCAGGGTGATTAAATGACAAAGGCACTAGCTTAGGAAGATGTGATGGTCGCCAGTCATCTGAAAGGCTGCAGGTAAGAAGGTCAAGTGGCAGCAGGCAGAAGAGCTGCATTGTTACTGGAAATTAGTTTTTTATTTTTATTTTATTTTTTTAATTCATTAATTTTTTTTGTGTGAGGAGGACTAGCCCTGAGCTAACATTTGATGCCAGTCCTCCCCTTTTTTCCTTGAGGAAGATTGGCCCTGGGCTGACATCCGTGCCCATCCTCCTCTACTTTATATGATGCTGCCACGGCACGGCTTAGCAAGCAGTGCATTGGTGCGCGCCCGGGATCCAAACCTGCAAACCCCAGGCCACCGCAGCGGAGCGCGCGCACTTAACCGCTGTGCCACCGGGCCGGCCCTCTGGAAATTAGTTTTTACCTAACAGTCTACATTGGTTTAACAAAGTGTAGGGCAGTATTCACCCATTTGTTATTCCACAAATACTGTTTTCACTAAGCACCGACTGTGTGCCTGGGTGTATTGTAGGTACAGGGGAGACAATGGTGAGCAAATTGCCATGGCTTCTGCCCTCATGATGCTGAGTCTGTTGGCAAAAACTGCCAAGTAGTAACAAAGTGTAACATGTACACCAGTAGAGAAGTGCGCTCGCCATTGGCTGTGCACCAGAATCACCTGTGGAACATACCAAGATGCAGACACCCAGGCCCCAGCCCAGGTCTGCCCTCCCTTCTCCTGCCCAGGCAGGGCCGAGCACTCCTCCTGCACTCTGCCTGGGCTGGAAGACGGCCCTTCCTCCTCGGACGCCATCCTCCTCTTGCTGTTGTGGTGCCTCTCGCCTGGTGTCTCTCTCCCTCCTCCGCCACCTACTGCCCTTTGCTGCTCTCTAGCAACCACACTTGTGAATCCACCGTCATTTCTGGTTGCCAAATGCGATCAGCAGTTGTCAGTCCTTGATTACAGCAGCTGCATCACTTCCCTGCACCTTCCATCTCCCTCAGTAGACTGGGAGCTTGAGGAAGATAGGGAGCGGGTCTTATTCATCAAGAAGTGCTTACTGAATAAAAGGGAAATTTAATCTAAACTGATTGAATCTGTGCCTCCTCCCCTTTTATTTTAAAATACGCTTTTATAGACTTTAGATTCATCAGATTTGTGGCAAAATAAGGTGGGTATTTTCTTCAACATCTACAAGAGCAGCTTTAAGAACCAACTGACGATGTTGATCTTTCTGGTTGTAAATAGGAATCTCTGTTTAAACTCTGCCGAAATGAAAATTTGGGAGGGAGCAAATTCCACATGAAGAATTAATTCCAAATGGCCTATGAAGAGGTCAACTGGTTCACCACCTTTTGGGGCGCATTTCAGAACTGACCCTAACAGGCCCAGTGGGAAGCAGCTCTGTTCAATGATATGGTCTGTTACCAACAGCGGGTTAGTTAAGTGAATGATTGTGAGGCCTTATAAGGGAATACTAGAGAGCTGTTGAAAAGCAGTGAGGCAAATCCATAGAGACTGATGTGGAAAGATCCCCAGTATGTATTACTGAGAGGCAGAAACAAGGGCAGATCCAAATACAGATGGTCATCCCAAATATAGGCTTGTATATGCAGTACGTTTTTTTCTGGAAGAACACGTGAAGAACTGCTAACAGCCTACATGTGGAGGAAGGGATAATGTCCATTTTATATCTTTCTGTGCAAGTATTATTTATATAACAAGAAATTAACTAGCTTCAAAAGTCATAACTTCCAGAAAAGCAACATTGCCAATCTCCTAAGGTCAAGAGAGAAGACCAGCTCCTAAAGCTTCCCAGGTAGACCTCACTCCTGCCGGCAGCTTGGGCCCCCACATCTCACGGTGGCTTTGCTATTCTTCCTGGACCTACTAGCTTTCGTGCAGGAATAAAAATGTGGCTTCTTTATGATAAATTCTCTGGAAGGAAAGCCAGCTGCCTATGAAATAAGGAGACAGTCAAGCTGGAAAAAATAAAAATAAAATTCTGAATAAATAAAAAATTAGAACATCAAATCTGGCAAATGACTTAGAGCTGCTATGTGAATAAGTGATCCATGAAATCATTTGAGATAATCCTCCAGCCAGAATTTATTTTAATTGCTTTAGTTTTATAGTTATAAAATAATTATAGGTCATCAGGAGTTACTTAAATTGTATTATATGTTATCCATTTAAGGAGAAAATCATATGCTATGATGGTATTTGCCAATGTGGGGATTCCAAAGTTCTCCAGACACATTCCTTGAGCCCCCCAGGGTCTACATGATAGTACCGAAGTACCTTTATTGCTTTATGAAATGCTCTCTCTCCATATGAGTGAGCTCCTTGAGAGAGCCTAGTCCATTTTCTTCATTTCTTCAATTTGCTTGGACATAACATGTATTCAGTAACTGTGTGTGTGTGTGTGTGTGTGTGTGTGTGTAGATTTCTTTTCCTTCATTCAATTAATTTCACAAATATTAAGCACCTACGAAGGAGCAGCACTTCGTGTGTGTATGCACACGCACAGGCTCGTGTTCTCCGACATCTGAACGAGAAAGTCCCCTGCAGTTGTTTCCCACACGTACCGCAAAGTCGAGGCTGGGAATCGGAGTCCCGTTCCTTCCAGTATATCCTGTAATGGAGGATGCAGCCCATTTGCTCCTGGGCTGGAATTTCGTCCCATGAAATTAAAATGCTGCCCTTTTCCTCCGCGATGGCATTAATGTGGGGGCCACTCAGTGGGGCTGTAACGTAGAACACAGCAGACTTTCGTCACCCTCCAAACCCAAATCATAGAACTACAGCAAAATTTGACCAAAGGTCGCAAGACTCACCTTTGTGCTTAGAGTTGCCTCTGGTGGAGCCACAGCCTCTCTGGTCCGCTGACAGCGCATGCACTTGGATTTCATAACAGGTGTAGGGCTTTATGTTCTCTGCAAGAAAAGGGAGTTCGTGTAACAGGTGTGGCATCCCATGTGAGTCACTAAAGGGAGCCATTTTCCTGTCTGGTGCAGGTGCATTCAAGGCATTTCTTGCCTTGTCTTCGTTTGAAGATGGTTCCGGTACAGTCTGGACTGAGGGTAAAGGATGACTACGTCATCCCAGGTTCACCTCGTGGTGAACTAAGAAACAAACTTGAGTTTCTGTCCAGAGTCATCGTGATTAAGGAGACAAAAGCCATTCCAGTTCCAACAAAGATTTAAATAGAACCACACAGACTGCTTTTGAAACAAAACTCACCTACAAGAAAAAACCTTGACTTCTACAAATAAATTATGTGCTGTTTACAGAAAAACAAGGCTGGTGTTTTGCAGGCATAGAACCTGAAAGGCTCTTCTAATTGCATAGATGCTTATCAGGATCTGACAACTCTCGTTCTACCCCTCCTTCCCCTCACTTCTCCCACAGGTAGATCTCGATTGCTTCACAGCCTGGAAGATTCGGAAGATACCTGGGAATGTTAATACTCCTTCCTAGCTCTTGAAGTGCCACACTGCAATTTTCTGTCAGTCATGAAGTTTACAGACAATCCTCAATTTATGATGGTTCCATCAATGATTTTTCGACTTTACCACAGTGTGAAAGCAACATGCATTCAGTAGAAATCGTACTTCGAATTGTGATCTTTTCTGGGGCTAGCGGTATGCGGTGTGATCCTCTCTCATGATGCTGGGCAGGGGCAGGCCCGCAGCTCCCAGTCAGCCACTCGAACACGAGGGTGAACGACCAACACACTTAGACCTATTCTGTACCCATACAGCCATTCTCCTTTTCACTTTCAGGACAGTATTCAATTACATGAGATATTCAACACCTTATTATAAAATAGACTTTGCCCAACTGTAGGCTAATGTAAGTGTTCTGAGCACGTTTAAGGTAAGCTAGGCTGAGCTATGATGTTCAGTAGGTTAGGTGTATTAAATGCATTTTTGACTTACGATATTTTCCACTTAATGATGGGTTTATTGGGATGTAACGCCATGGTAGGTCAAGGAAGATCTATATTGGCAAGTCACTCTTCCTTGCCAAAACTCCTTATTTCCAAGAATCTCAGATTTCTACTTCCTCTAAAGAAAAGCCCCCTCACATAGGATACTGCCCATGACATATCTTTAAATTCCCAATGAAAATTTAAAGGAAAAAGAGAGATAATCCCTACTAGGTAACTATAGTATCACGTGGTCAGAGTAAGGACTATCTCCCATATTGTTTAATGTCCTGCCATAGGTAGGTCTGGTCTCCTATACTGACAATTGATTAGGGTTTAATATTTTTTGGGAGGGAAGAGGAATTTTCATCACAGAATAATTTACTAAGTAATATGTGGGGGTTTTTTTTGGTGAGGAAGATTGGCCCTGAGCTAACATCTGTTCCCAATCTTCCTCTTTTTGCTTGACGAAGATTCTCACTGCGCTAACATCTATGCCAACCTTCCTCTGTTTTGTACATGGGACACTGCTGCAGCATGGCTTGATGAGTGGTGTGTAGGTCCACGCCTGGGATCCAAACCCACAAACCCTGGGCCGCCGAAGCAGAGTGAGTGAACTTAAGCACTATGCCACTGGGCCAGCCCCAATTGTACGTGTTTTATATGAAAATCCATTGTGCCTTAAATATTCCAGCAAGTAGGTAAGTATATAAAGCTCAGATGTGCAACTTCATGCCATGGGTGAGTTCTGATTCGTATTCATGAACCAAGTAAAATGGAGAAAAAGATGCAGTCAGCTTAGTTCAGTAATCTCAAGATTCTTCGTGGGTGGCATCCAGACCCAGAAGCCCAAAGGGCAACATGGAATACGAAATCACATTTCATTTGGGAGAGGCTTGTGCCTGGCTGTTCCGCCTCTAGTTGTGGAAGGGGCCGACCAACCACTGTGGAGCCACGTGGAGGCGTGGGAGTTCCAGATGAGCTCATCGGGCAGATGGTTTCATTGCATTTTGCCATGCAAAATGGGATTTCAGGGCAGAGGCCTTGGGAACTGCTGCATCAGAAGCTGTGGGCTTCTTCCTCCACCCCCAATGGAGGAGGGAAGAAAATGTGGCTCCATCACTATGCTGACATTTCCCTTCTCATAAAGAGCAGAGTCCTAGCAAGCTTGTTCCCTGGTTCTGACCTTAAGGACTCTTGTTTTACTGGCTAATTCTTTTACAAACAACCCCCTAATCATGTCTGCTCCCCACCCCCAAAATGCCTTAGCCCTGCTGCCCAGTGGATGCAGCCCACGCTCCTAAGATTTTCACTTCCTTTCTACAATCTGGCCCCAACTTCCTGGCTCGTTTCCCACTACCTACATGCATACATATATACCTGGCACCCTTGGGCGAAGGCTGTTTCCACCTTTATAAACCATCTCTTAGGTGAGTTATCTGCAGAAAGCTAATTTCCCCTATTACGTGTGGGAGAAGGCCAACAGTCAATGGTCAGTAATGAGGAGTCATCCCAGAAGAAGTGAGATGGGAGCAGGCAGAAGAGGGGCCACAAGTGGTCTGGGCATCAGGGCAGCTTTTCTACGCACCCTGATGTCTACATATCTGTAAAAGGAATGGCTCTTATGTCAGAACCATTTTCACTCAGACAGGACAGGACTAATGACCTTAGCCTGGGTCCCGCCAACCTAAAATCCAGGAGCTGGCTTGTGTTCTGCCCCCCCCCAAAACATCCCACTCTGCCCCAACCTGATGCTGGGAAAAGGCTGGTGAGGATCCGACGGCAATGAGTCCTCTTACTGACTGGAGAGGGCCATTTTGAATTCATGATAAGTATGAATTACTTAATTTTTTGTGTTTATTTCCAGAATGTAACATCAATACAAACTCATAGTTAACCAAGTGTTTTTAAGCAGGAGAACAATTTGCCCTAGCTCACACAGCCTAGTAAGTGATAAGGCCAGGACTCACACCCAGACAGTCTGGCTGCAGAACCAGCACTTTTAAACACTATGCTGAACTTATACTTAAAAATGACACTAAGTTCTATCCAGTCATTTTAACGTATTTTCAGATGATTTCTATCACTTGTTTGTAACCACTGACAGAATTGGATTTGAGGACTGGAGACACCAGTTATCATACAGAAAATTCTGGACTTATTATCACACAAATAATAAATAGCAGAATTGGGAATGAAAGCTCCTGGTTTCACCTGTACAGTGAGTACAACAACTCTTGCTGCATGTGATTGTTCTGAGAACTAAATGAACCACCAAATGTAGAGTGCCCGTCCCACTGACTGGTTACCACTTAGCTCTCAGCCATGCTTGGGGCCATTATTCATTCATCTTAGCCAGCACTGTGCCAGGCACAGGACTCTTCCTTAATGAAAGCTAGCGTTTTCAGGTGGTCAGTGGGTCAGTTGTGGCTGCAGTCCTCATGACTGTCCTGATGACTCTGGGTCATCACTGTCTTTCTTCTCACGCAGCCGCCTGTAACTGAAGGCCAGGTTCTGGGTTCCCACGTGCAATTTCCTCAAAAAATGTAAACCTAGTAACTCTCCAGAAGGAAAGTGAACAACTACGTACCTGCAATCAGAGCAGACATGTTGGAGGGAGGACTCCGCAGCCAGTTTGGAGGGGTCTGCACGCTGCGCCCTGGATGGCGCTCCCCCCATTCCACCACGTACTCCTGGACAGCAGGGGCAGCCTGGCTGGGAGGCTCCCACGTCACCATAATGTTGTCCGTGCCCTCCGAGTTTGCAGAGACCCGGCGAGGAGCCAGCAACCCTTCATGGGGAAAAGAGGGAGGGACAAAAACTAAATCAGAGTGGATCAAGATATAAAAAAACAATTCACCCCAGCAAAGTTTTAGGAAGAACCAATTGCTTTTTAAGGACTTTCAGGTCCACAGATTTGTTCATCCTACTGCTCAGATCTTGGAGAACTGGCATCAGTGCAGGGACCCTGGGTAGTGTTATTTGTAGAATTATTTTCCCCTTCATCTTCCATTTCACTTTCCATCTCTGTGTCCCCAAAGGCACCTGCTCTGGTGAATATAATATGCATCCTTCTAATCCACCTCCCATAACATTTATTTAGACATATATGTACCCTTGAAAATTAGTGTTGCTTTGAGCTCGTGTGTTGTATTTTCACAAAACATTTTGGGAGTAAATCTAATGCTTTTTCTAACTTTTTTTTCACTCAACATTATGTGTCTGGGATATATCCATCCTGCTGCTATATGTAAATCCAGTTCATTCCTTCAGACTGCTGCCTCAACCCTTTTTTGGTCCAGTCTCCAAGTGACAAGTAGGAGGTTCCTTCCAACTCTTTGCTAATATAAACATGGATGCAACGAACATTCTCTTGCATGTCCTCATGTGTACCTGTGCAAGAGTGTCTCTGGATATATATGCACAGAATTGCTTGATTATAGAGTAAATTCACATATTATTTCACTAAATATGGCCAGATTGATCTCCTAAAGAGCCAATCAGTTGACACTCCAATGAGAAAAGCATGAGAGTTCTCTCATTTCCCCACTAACGCTTGGTATTTTCTGACTTTCTAATTATTACAAATCTGGTACATGTAAAGTGGTATATAATTGTGCTTTTATTTTCATTTTCTGATTTTTTATGAGGCTGAGCTTCTCTTCATATATTACTAGCTATCTGATTTTCCCCTTCTGTGAACTGCCTGTTCATATACTTTACTCATTTCTTCCATTCAGTTTCCTGTCTTCTGTCTGATTTGCAGAAATAGCTTTTATATTCTAGATATTAATCACTTGTCAGTTTTCAACACTAAAAATATCTTCCTCCAGTCTTTCAATTCTCTGATAACTTTATGATGCATTTGTTGCACATAAATACTTACTTTGATGTAGGTAAATGCATAGTTTGTACATTTTCAGTTTTATTTATGAAATTCTTCTATCCTTGGGCCACAAAGATACTCAATACATTTTCTCCTGTTGACCTCTGGTTTTACCTTTCACATATAGGTTTTTAATCCAAATCTAGCTGAAAGGTTTTGTTTGTTTTGTTTTGTTTTAAGAGAATAAATTTTATTATTTTTTTCCACACAATGAGTCAACTTTTCCAAATGTGATTCCATCCCTAACATACATGAAGTTCCATATATTCATGGGCCTTTGTCTGGGTCAGCCTCTTCCCCAGAACACACTGTTCACATTACTAGGCTTTGTGACATCTGACTGGTTGGTAAAGGCCTCTCCTCATTTTGCTCTTCTCTTTTTAAAGTGTTCGTGGATATTCATGAAACTTGATTCTTCCATATAGCTTTTAGAATCAGTTTATCAGAGTCTCCCAAAATTCCAGCTGGTATTTTTTATTGGAATTAAGTTAAATTTATAGTTTAATTCAGGGAGAATTAGTGCTGTTACAATGTTAAGTTGTTCCATTTGTAAATACGCTGTTTCATTGAAATTATTCAGCTCTCCTTTTTTATCTTTTAATGGAGCTTTAAAAATTCCTCCTTAAAGTTTTCATGCATTCTTTGTTAGGTCGATTCCTAGACATTTTATACTTTTAATTTGCTATTTAAATGGCATTTTATTTTCTACCGCTTTTTCTACTATTAATTTGTATGTGTTATTCGTATTTCTGGAAAACCTGCTAAACTGTCTAATTATTTCAAGTAATTTGTCTGTTGCCCTTGTTGAATTTTCCATGTAATAATCTTTTATCTGCACACTTAAAATGTCTCCTCTTCCCAATCTTTAAATTAAATCTATTTCCTTTTTTTATCTTGTTGCTAACTTTAAAGAGAATGTGCCTATCTATCTTTATTAAGATGATATTTGCTGCATATTTTTGGTAGAAAGTCTTTAAAAACTAAAAAGTTTTCTTTCATTTGTAGTTTTCAAATAGGTTTTATTTTTATAAAATACTGTTTATTTACTAAAAACTTTTTTTTACTAAATACTTTTCTACATCTGTCAAGAACATATGCCTTTTTTTCTCTTTCAGTATTAATGTGATGAATTATATTGATACATTTTTCTGAGATTGATCCATCTTTCTATTCTTGGGGTCAACCCTGCTTGATCATTCTGCACTACTTTTTTTTTTTTTTTGCAGACTTTTTAAAAATAGACTTACTTTTAGAGCAGTTTTAAGTTCACAGCAAAATGAGTGGAAGGTACAGAGATTTCCCAAATTTCCCCTGCCCCCCCCCCCACAGCCTCCCCCATATCAGCATCCTGCACCAGACTGGTACATTCGGTAAATAAATAAAATAAAACTTGATAAATATTTTCAAGTATTTTTTTCCCTTTCATTTACTTTTTTCTCTTACTGGGACTCCATTTAAGTGGTTGTCATTTCTTCTCTTTCTGTTCTTTCAGAGTTTTAAGTATTCTCATTTTTCAGCTTCTTTCCCCATTTTTGATGCCTTTTGGAGAGTTTCTCACCCAATCTTCCACTCACTCATTCAGTCTTCAGTCCTTTCTGCTATCCAACCTATTGGCTGAGTTCTTTATTTCAACAAACTTTCCATACTGAATCTTTTTGGGAGCTTCTCTTTCTGACTCCTGTTTCTAGCATCCTCTCTGATCTTTCTCAGGGTACTCTTTATGTGGATTCTAAACTCGGTGCTTTCTGTTGTATTAGTTATATTTCCTAGGGTACAGGTTGTTCCATGTGCTGCCTTTCTTCCCCAGAACTTGTGCCTCTCAGATTTCCCCTGATTTCCTCCTCTGGGATCACTTTTTTTTTTTTTTTTGGACTGATGGGCAGCCGTGGCCTTTATATTTCTGTGGGGGGAGTGAAAGCTGAGCTGTGGCTCCTGCTTCTCCAGGTAAGGTTAGGTGGGAGGAGGAGCTCTTCAGGGGGGAGGCTCAGGCCAGACAGCCTGGAGTGGTGCAGCCTGAGCCGCACCTGTCCCCAGGTTCCCATCAGGTGTACGAGGCACCTCCAGAACCAGCCAGTGCCTCATGGCTGGCACTGCTCTTCATGGGGGGGGGGGGTCTCTCTTTTGTAGTGGCCAGGCCCATGAGGTGGGTGCAGGAGAAATCTCAAGGGCCAGCTAGCTCACAGGCACTCTGCTTGAAGCTCCCTCGCCCTAGTTAGGTGTTTGAGGTTACTCTGCCCGGCTCTCCAGACGTGCCTGCCCCATAGTAGAAATGCCCAGGCGATGATCATATCAGGGCGATATGGGCAGGAAAAAGGAGTGCACCCAGAAAGTGCTACCGCAGCCCTGCCCCTTCATCACGATTCCCCACTGCACAGGTGCTCAGCCACCCTCCCTCTCTCTCCTGTGCATCCTCAGGGCCCAGCCTGGTGGTGAGAGCTGGGAACCCGTGTACTGGCTGTCCTGTCAGGAGCTGGAATTCCCCAGCAGTACTTCCTTTATCTTCATTTGCTTTGGCATTGGATGTCCTGGCTATGCCCTGGGATTATGATTTTTTTGAGAATGAAATGTATTCATTCAGTAAATAGTTATTGAGTACCTACTGTTCACAAGACCCTTTGCAGATAATAGGCTGAAGCAGCCAAAGAGCTTCTCTAACCGCTGCTTTCTGGGGCGTTGCTAAGCCAATCAGCTTGGCGTTGCCCGGCCTCTGAGTCACCACACTTGCCGGGGCCCAGCCTGGATTTCCTCCCCCACAGTGTTTGCCAGGGCACGTTCTCTCCTCAGAACTCTCCTAACAGCTCACCTGCTCTCTGTCACCTTCCAAAATTATTCCTTTAGCCTCAATCATTCAACTTCCCACCTCTCTTTTCACTGAGAGCTTCTGAAAAGAGTTACGAAGTTCATAAGGTATTTGGAAAAAGTGCCCACCTAAGAGACAGGTGGCCGGGTTTTTCAGCCCAGCTCTGCCACTAACAGGATGTTTGATCTTGGCTAAGTTACTCCAGCTCCTGGGGCCTCAGTCTCTGACATCGTGTGTGCCTCTGTGAATGACTGTACTGGCTTCTGACTCTTCCTGTAGTTTCTAGAATTCTTGAGCACAGGAACTAGTCTGAAATATTAAATACTTCTTACTTGTTGACCGGTGGGTTTAGCATACATTCAGTTTTCATTATAAACCAACAAAATCACTCTTGGGCTTCTTGATATGCAATACTGTGGCAGGTGCCTTTTACAATCAAGTTGTCCCTACTCTCCAAAATCAACATATCTCTACCTGTTGGGGCATTATTTTTCCCTTCCTAGAAGAAAAGCTATATATGTAAGTAGTGTGAACATATATTGAAAGAGAGGGAGACATAAAGTCACGGTACACTATTCCTACAGATCATTCCGAATTTGTGTGAGACAAGACCACTCAAGGATGGGACCACGTGATTTGCCAGTGTGTCCTCCAGGTCACCCTGGGACGCACAACTACTTGTATTGGATGGTTCAAGTGTGTTCTTAGGAGAGGCAATAGGCTCTTCAGATTCCAAGAGTTCCAGGACCAGGACCCTCTTAGCAACAGCTCAGTTCTAGAGAACTGTTTCAATGTCCTACCTTACCTCCCCTGCACATTCATCCTTACTGAGCCTCATCCTTATTTAACAACTTTCCATTCTGAGAGGAGGAAGTTCCTCTGATCTCTTTTTGCCACTGGATCCCATCATCTTCCAGCTCCCCAGGGGCTTCATTCCATTAATTATCCCTTCTCCCCTTTATCTTCAACTCTCCCCCACCCCAGTTCTTCTTTTCAACTTGGATGCCCACTCAGATCTCACTTTAAAATAACCCCTCACGGCCGCACGCCTGCGCTCCTTCACCTGGCTTAACACCAACCCGTCTCTCCATGCTGTGTTCACATGCCGCCTCCTCTCCGAGCCCACGCCTCGCTTCTCTCTGTTCCTGGAGCTCCCTGTGCATACAACTAGTCTCACACCTCACACTGCACAGAGTTTACCTGTTTATATGTCTGCCCCTCCCTCTTGACAACATACAACGGGAGGACCTTGACTGTCCGTTTTACCTATTGCTGGTAAAGTCACCTTATATAGTACATGCTCAGTAAATTACTGTTGAATGAATAAAGTAGAGGCCAATTTTAAAATAATGAATGTGTCATTTGGAGAAGCTGTTACCAAATCTAAATAAAGAGCCTGGAATGGGCCCAGAAAATTCATGAGGCTTATATCCTCAAGGCCTGTCTGCTGTGAGGTTTGAAGAAGTAAGGCCTTTGGACATATTACATTTTAACAAGAGCAGGATACTACTCAGTGGTATGATTTCAATTTTCCCCCACAGAATTCCCTTTAAAAATTACCTTGGTAGTGCTTATCCATTGAAGAAAATTTTAAAAATACACAAAGCAAAAGGGAAGAAAAATCATCTGTGATCCATGATGCACACATGACCTCTGTTAACAGGTCCACGTACATTCTCCCAGATGCTTTTACTGTGCTAAAATGCATATTTGTGTAAATGTATATTTAAAATGACCTCATCCCATGTATACTTTTTTTTTTTAAAGTCAATTTGATTTCTTTTCTTCAACTTTGGTTGCTAACGCAGCCTCCTTAAAGGTTTTTTTTTTTTTTTTTCCCTTTTTCTCCCCAAAGCCCCAGTAGATAGTTGTATGTCATAGTTGCACATCCTTCTAGTTGCTGTATGTGGGACGTGGCCTCAGCATGGCCGGACAAGCGGTGCGTCGGTGCACACCAGGGATCCGAACCCGGGCCGCCAGCAGCGGAGTGCGCGCACCCAACCGCCAAGCCACGGGGCCGGCCCCCCATGTATACTTTTGAAAGCCTGCTTTTTCACTTATTATGTGCATCTGTCCATGTCAATAAAAGCATGGCGACAGCATCACGCTAATGCTGGTGTGGGATTTAGGGGGGGTGAGGGCCATCATATACTTAACCAGTCCATCCTCCAGGATCACATGTTTAGGCTGTGGGTGGTGTTTTACTATTACAAAAACTTTTTCAACAAACATCGTTGTGCTTACATTTTAAGCTCTTATCCTATTGTTTGCTGAGGATACATTTCTAATGGTAAAATTTCTTGGTCAAAAGGTACGTTCACATTGAAAGTTTGTTATGAATTGCCAAATTGGTCCTCAGGAAGTTGTGCCAATTTGCACACCCACAGCAGTGTACAAGAGTATCTTTTTCTCACACTCTCACTGACGTGGGTTACACTAATTCTTCTTACTCTTCCTTAGTCCCATTTAATATCTCATGTTTTTTCAAAATTTGCATCTCATTGATTGCTAGTCAGGCTGAACATATTTTCATATCTTTCTTGTTTCTCTTATATTTATTTTTTGAGTTGCCAGTTCATATCCCCTGATCTCTTATTTACTTGAAAAAGTTAGATAGATAATCAATCTTCTTTTTGTCAAAAACGTGATACATACTTTTTCTTAAATTGCTATTTAAATATTAAAGCTTTATTTATGGTGTTTAAAAAATTATTTTACTATGCATAAAGTTTAACCTTTTTTTCCCATCATTTTTTTTTTTTTTTTTAAGATTTTATTTATTTTATTTCTTCCCCCCAAAGCCCCAGTGGATAGTTGTATGTCGTAGCTGCACATCCTTCTAGTTGCTGTATGCGGGACTCGGCCTCAGGATGAACGGAGAAGTGGTGCCTCGATGCTCACCCGGGATCCGAACCCGGGCCACCAGCATCGCAGCGCACGCACTTAACCACCAAGCCACAGGGCCGGCCCTCCCATCATTAATCTATCTTTTCCTTCAGGTTTCCGCCTTAGGCACCTGCCCCACAGGAGGCAGAGATTACCAGAAGCCTACCAAATCCCCCCTCCTCATCTTCCTCAGCAAGGGAACACTGCCGCCTGAAATCTCTTTCTGAGCAGCTGGGTGTGGCCAGGTGACCAGCTAGACTCACTGACTGTAGGTGTGTTGTGCACCTGGGGCAAAGCTCCTCAAGAGTGAGGGGTGAGCCCTTCTCCCTTCCTTCTTCTTTTCTGCCACCTAGAAGGGAATTGCTGGAGCTCCTGCAGCCACCTTGGACCATTGCCATCTTGAGGATGGAAGCCAACTTGGCAGAGGGAACAGAGAGAAGGAGCCTGGAGTCCCAATGATGTCACGAAGCTGTCACACCAGCCCTGAGCTGTCTACCCCTAAACTTCTTGTACGTGAGAGAATAAATAAGTCACTGTAGTCAGGCCTCTGGTAAGAGCAACCCTTATTCCTAAGAGCAATTCCTAACTCACATACCAACCCAAGGTTATATCAATATTTACTTGTATTTTCTTCTAGTTATTTTCATCTACTCTATTATCTCTGTGTTTATAGCTATATGGTTGAAAAGATATATAACTGAGATTTAACAGTGTATAAAAATAATCGTGTTTTGGTAGAAGCTTCTTCAAAATGATGACTGCTGGACTCACATGTAGATAAAGTTGTTACACTGAATTTTAAGGAAGAATCTAATTACAGTTTTATTCTATGAGGCATTTTTGGAAAAAGGCCAATGATCTTGACATGGAATCCTTTTATAATTCAGATCTTGAGAAACAGCATTAATATCCATTTTCTTGACTAATCATGGGTTTTTATCCTGAGAAGTTAGTTCTCAGAGGATGCAACTATAAAATACATATGGCTAGTTGGGAGGTTTTCAATGTAGATAATTGTCTACAGATCTAAATTTGTGTAATAAAGAGTTGTAGTATAAAAATTTTACTATAATTTCATTACAGCCAGAATTTCATTTTAATGCTATTGGTTTTAAAATACGTTTTGATTGTAGGTATAAAATGTTTTTTCTAGAACTTGAAAACACATATTATTCTCGCTTCTGGAAAAGTTAGCCAGCTATTAGTGTTTAGTTTAATGTAACTCATATTTCCTAACTAACATTTATTCAGCACCTGCTATGTATTAGTCTCTGTATTTAATCTCACGTTGACCTGCAAAGCAAGTAATACAATCCCTACTTTAGAGAAGAGGAAACTGAAGCTCAAAGGTTCACTTGTCCAAGGTCCAAGGCCACTCACAGGCTGAGTGGAGAAGACAGCCTCTGAAGGCTGTTGACTCCAAAGTCTAAATGCCTGTGCTACTCCTGCCAGGCCCTGGGCTGAGCCTGCGGGCTCAGTAAGGGGGGATGAGTAAGACACAGTTCCCACAGGCAATATTACGGAAAAGTTGGTACTTACCTGCCCCACATAGGTCCGATATATTAACATGAGTGGGCAGAGAGCTGCCTTTTGAGTTCGCTGCAGACACAGCCACTGCCCAGTTCCCAGTTCTGGGAATGACCCAGGTCCAGGAGGTGTGTTCTGTGATGTTCTGTAGTGTGGCTGTCGCCCCTTCCACCTCCTGCAAGGTCACCCGATAGTGGAGGATTTTTCCTCTTGCCTCTGATACACTCAGATTCTGCAACAAAACACGTCCACTTACTGTGTGCTCTCAGGGAAGGTCGCTGGATGCTCTGCACCTGGACCTCACGGCCCCATGCAGCAGGAGGCCACACCTGAGTGACCTTTTTACTTACGTCTTCTCATCTCCTCCACTGCACACTTTTATGCCTCTGCCCACCCCCACCAGTTGGGAAAAAAAAGTCAGTGAACATTTTTTAAAGCTAATTCTCAAAAACACATTTCTTTTCTTGCTTCAAAATGAAACTTCCTAACAGAAGAAAACTTGGTTCCATCAAATGGAACAAGAGTGGGATCTGAACCCAGAAGATCTGGCTTTGCGGTCTAGCTCCACCCGGGGCGAGGCACTCAGCCCCTCTGAAGCGCCATTTCTAAGTTTGTGAAACACTCACACACACACACACGTATAACTTTGTGTATAGAAAGTGCAAAGCTGCCCACAAAATCACAAACAAGATTTTCAAGAGCTGAACTAGTAAAATTCACACTTAGTGAGTTGGATTAGCTGTCTGTGCTAGAAATGAAGACTTGATAAACGTGTGACTAACGGGGTTTGGAACTGCAAAAATTCCAACTGAGATCATTTGGGAGCAATCCCAGAAAGTAAGCAGAAAACGAATTACTTGTCTTGTAACCCAGTTTGGATAGGGACCATGGGAAACAGAAGCAACGGGGAGGGAGCGCTGCCAAGGCCAGCACTGGCTGTGCCCGTCCACGCCTCACGCTGAGGGGGAGGCTTAGCTCACCAGACCGGAGCATTATAGTCTTCTTGGCAAGGCTGCTCCTTCCTTGGGGTCCCGAGTAGCCTCATGCGGCTGAAAGACACCCCTTGGGTTTGGCAAGTGCCCCTTTCTCTGATTCCCTACTCCCTAAGCAATCTTCTAATAATTTGGTTTCCTACGTAGTTTATCTGTCAGGAGAAGCTGGACTAACATGACCATCTGGTTCAGTTAAAACTTGCATTTTTCACTTTAAGGTAATAAACTGGCCTTCTGATTATAATTTCCCTTCCGAAATAATCAGCATACCGAGCGGGAATGCTTCTGTCTTCTGACTCAGGCCTTCTGGGGGCCTGACAGCTGCACGTCTCCCTGTACATCAATCTGTGAACATCCAGCTTTTGATATTGCCGGTTCTGGGAGCTGGAGTAATGCAGATCCCGGCCTAGGTGCCCTCCCCAGTCTACAAGGCCCCAGACGGATCTTACACCGTGCTCAGTGCACCAGGTGAACGCCACGTTCTGAGGGCTCTGTCGGGAGCACATTCGGCCTTGCCCTAGAAGACGGCTTTCTGTCCTGGCAAGAACCAAGAAAGTTAGCATTTCACATGCCCATCACAGCTGGTCTCATAGGCCTGTTGTGTGGCTGAAAATGAGTGAGTACTTTTGAAATTGTGGTGTTCTGAACTGCTATTAATAAGCACGCCTTTTGTCACAGGAGGAAAAACAGGAGACATTACAGCAAAAGCTGGCTACGGCAGACTACTCCCTCGGCTGTCTCTCACTCTCCTTCCCTGTCTGTCTCCTCTGTGGGTCCAGAGGTAGGTCTATTACCCCATGCCCACCCCATGCATCCCCCCAAGGCTCTCCCCAAGAGTTAACTGGGTTCACAAAGCCCCCCATTCTTGCCAGGGACCCAAAGGTCTCCAGTTTCACCCTGACAACTAAACAGAGCCCTAACTGGAGAAGACACCTTGCCAACCAGCCTCCATTCCCTCCTTCTTGTCGTCCTTCACAGTCACCTCCAGAATCTCATTCACTCCTACGGCACAGTGCTGAAAGAAGGGGGAATGGCAAGTCATCCAGGATCCGATGAACTTGCCTAGTGTCTGCTGTGGAAATCCAGCAGATCACAGATCTAGGAAACAGAGGCATGGATCTGAAAGATGAGGGACAGTTCCCAGAGGGTAGTGAAGGGCTGGACCCATACCCGTGCATTTCACCTCCATATCCCATATTTTAGAGTTGAAAATATGAAAATATCAGTGAGAAGGTGTCTTGACATGAGTACAGCCATGTTTGGCCGTTTCACTAACTTACAGCCACCAGCACACAAAGAAATATAAAGCTGCTTTCTGTGTGGTGGGAACTGGCCTTTTTCCTGGGAACTGGCTTTTCTCCCGTGGAGATAGTTGCAATTTGTAACATTTCAAGGTTCTTTGGGCATCGGAGCCCAGGGCAGACTGGCCATCTGTGCTGGGCTGGGATGATAACCAGGGAAAACAATGCACATACACAACTGCCAGGCTGGGACGATAGCCAGGAGGCTCAGTGCACGTACGCCACTGGTAACCATTTGTGCATGGGAATACTGAATGCTTGCTCTGTAAACTCTGTAACTGTTTACTCTGGAAACTACTGATGCTATACAAACTGCTGGAAACCGAGGCCTGGTGAGAGTCCCTGATGATCGGATTCCCGCCCAGCCATGTCAATTGAAGGGACTCTCCCCGGCAGTGGGGCGTGGATGTTGTGAGTAACCAATCTGATGTGTTCTCTTTTTGGTCAACCTGGTATTTCTCTTTCCAGTTGATTTCTGTCATTTCCCTTCAGTCGATTTGGTGTTTCCCTTTCCGATCGATCTGATGTTTTTCCCTCTTACTATATGACCTATTCGAATCTGCCGCTATCTCAGCCAATCTGGTGTTTCCTTTTCTGATCAAACTGGTGTTTTTCCCTCTTATTATTTGACCTATTCAGATCTGTTTGTGGACTATCGCCTTTACTCTCCTCTATATAATAAAATATATCTTCAGTCCATTTGTTTGGAGTGGAAAGTTTCTTTTACATCTCTGATTGAATCCCCAAACCTCACAAAACAGAAGGTGAGGGTGGGGTTGAGGGAGGTAGACACATAAATACGGTATCCTGTGAGTTAGGCTTGTATGAAGCATCAAGCTCAAGTTTTGGCATAAAAGTTAACATCTCTCAGGTAATCGGTCTCCTTAACCAAATTCGAAAATGGGCCTAACTTGTCCAACATGGTCCATGGAACAAAAATTCAATGAGCCAATAGAAAAACAGGTATTTATCCGGCTAGGCACATAGTCTCCTAAAGCAACTGAAAGCAGTATAATTAGTTTCGTTAAAAAAATAATAGCAACATAAAGTGTGCAAATAATGTATGTAATCCATCACCCCTGGGTTACACTTGGCTGTGATGGAAGGAATATCATCACAGAACAACAGAACTGGAAGGGATTCTACAGATTAGCAATGATTCAACATTTCATTTTATCAACAGGGAAACCAAGTCCCACGGACATGAAGCGACTTGCTTAAGGCCACTCCAGGGATAGACGGAGGAGCCAAGAGTGGAACCCAGGGCTCCTGACTTCTAGTGACCTCTCCATTGGCAAGCCTGAGACAAGGAACTGGTAAGCCTGGGGCACCATGTGTCATAGCTGGAGTCCCCAGTGACCCTTCTGGCCCAAAGTTGCAAAGCAGCTTCTCTAACCGTGGGGTTGTGGTACATTCTGACGCGGAGCAATGACATGAGGTCAGCAATCTGGGGAAGGTGGAGATCCAGAATTCTTTTTTTCCAGAGCCAACAGGCCCTGAGTCACAAGAAGACAAGCCGTGAAGCCAGAAGAACTTCGACTTGAGGAGCCAGCTGGATCTTTCCAGATGAACTTATTTTTACGGGGTGGGTGATAAGGGAGAAACTATCATTTATTGGGCCATATCATGAGTCAGGAGCTTTGCATCTATTGTCACATTTAGTCCTTACAGCTCCCCATTCTGATGAGGGTGCTGAAGCTTGGGCAGGTTAAGAAACTGACTCAAGGGGTCCCCGAAGAAAAGTAACGTGAGATTTCAGTGCGCCCCCTGGTGGATGTGTGAGAGGAAGACGCCGTCCCGAACGCGTCTGACGTCCCTGGGAGTGTCTCCAAGACCTGGTGCTTCTTGTACCTTCTTGGGCAGTGCTGAGAGCGGGACTCCAGCCAGTGTTCCTACTGTCATTGTCACCTCTCCTACTGGTAAGAGTGTGCTAAAAAGGAAAAGCTGTCCTATTGCTCCTCTCCTTCAGTTTTCTTTCTGCTCTGTCCTGCAGGAAATGATCTAAACTTAGTAAACTTAGCCTTTCTGACTTAGGTTTGTCCAAGAAGCAAAGAGTGAACAGCTCCCTCATAAACCTGCTGTTTCAAAAGGCTTTCAGCATCAAAAAGAACGTGGTGAATGTAATCCACGATAGGACAAAATCTGACACATGTCAGAATGCAGGGCTCCTGGTTTTCTGTTTTGTTTTGTTTTTAAGTACAGTAGACCCCCCCCTTTTCTGCAGGTATATGTTCCAAGACCCCCAGTGGATACCTGAGAGTGAGATAGTACTGCAACATGTATATACTATGTTTTTTCCTATATACATATATACAAGCTTAATTTATAAATTAGGCACAGCAAGAAATTAACAACTCATAATAAAGTAGAACAATTATAACAATATACTGTAATAAAAGTTACTGTGGATCTTAGCAACCTTAGCATACGATTTCTTGTCTTTCCTTATTAAGACAAGAACTTGCACATTTTCACTTACAGGAAGCACTTTTTGGCTTCTCTGGCGTGTCTGAATTGCCAGCCTCGCTGCTCTTGTGCTTCAGGGCCACTGTGAGGTAAAAGAAGGGTGACTTGAACACAAGCACTGTGATACTGAGACAGTCGATCTGATGACAGAGACGGCTACTAAGTGACTGACAGGTGGGAGGCAGATATAGCGTGGACACTCGGGACAAGGGGATGATTCACATTGCAGGGGGCTGGAGGAGGACCATGCGAGATTTCATCATGCTGCTACTCAGAATGGTGTGCAATTTAAAACTTATGAGTTGTTTATTTCTAGAATTTTCTATTTAATATTTTTGGATGATGGTTGACTGCAGGTAACTGCAACTGCAGAAAGTGAAACACTGGATAAGGGAGGATAACTGTACACTGGAGGGAGGGTGTTTCTGTGAACTGATAAATCATTTCTTCTTAGGACTTAAAAAAACCTACTG